TGGGAGGTGGAGACAAATTTATCGAATTCTAAGGAAGCTGCGAATCAAGAAATTATCATTTTTGTCTATTCCAACCACCTCTCCCGCTCCATCCCCCTTCAACTTCCACAAGTGCGACTATCCCCCATTCAAACATTTCCCAAAGGTAGTTAACTTTGCTCAACCCCAGATGTGACAATCCTCCTGAAAACGAAAATGCAACCACCTCGTTCGAATAGTGCGACGGTTGATTCTGGTCTCAGTGACCAGGGATAAGTGTCTTAGGAGCGCTGTGAATGGGACTGCGAACTATGCAGTGGAAACGCTGGTTAGAGCTACATTGAGCAAGTAGATGAGAATCACTCCGCAATCCTGCCGAGAATACGAGATCATGGCGCACTCTCTAATGCATGTTCATCAGTGCTACGGCTTATAAGATTTATTCAAATCATATTTGTCAGTAATAATAATCTATTGAGCTACTCTAACTAACAAATTGCACTTTTGTCTTGTTTCTCACAGTGTCGCCAAGGGTTTGATCGCCATCGAAGTGCATTCTCGAGATTTTGCATTTCGGTGCATCGCCGGAACTCTCTGAAATGAAAGTTAGCGAGAAATGAATCTGCAAGTAGCGATATTGCATCACACAGCAACCAGAATGGTGCTCGTTCCCTTATAAGCTCAATAGAAAGAGTAAATATAAAAATTGCCCCATGCCCTTGACTTACATTTGAATCACAGAGAAGTTATTGACGTATGTACAACCTATGCCCTGATTTGTGGGAGCCCGTCAGTGTTTTCATCCTTCCATGTGTGTGCCCCCCGGTACCGTTCAAGTGACCGCGGGGGGATGGAATGCTCGCCAGGTCTAGGTGATTTCGACCCCCTGAAATGCAACAATACTTAGCTTTGTTTCTCATCATTAATGGGCTTCGAGCATATAACAAAAGAATCACGACTTTTTGTGCGAAAGGCAAGGTTGAACGTCGCGTTGCACTATTTCGAACTGAGGAGGGCTGCTTTGTGATTTCAGGAAGGCGATTTTGAGTTGAACATGTTAATGATTCTTGGAGAGTGCGAAGAGGGGTTGCTGTTTAAGACGTGGTTTCGATCGATTTTTAGTGAAGATCCGGAAAGTAGCGTGATTTAGACGAACTTGGGTGCTGCTTCAATTTTTTCACACCCCCCCATCGCTCCCGTCGAGGGCCGTTGTGGAGGAGAACGGTAGGCAGAGTTGAACCGTGTCATCTGCTCTCAGAATCAAATCAAATTAGAGACAGCCACGACGGCGAGGTTAGCAGTCGGGGATTCGTATTGAAGAACCCTCCCAATGTCTCATGGTGGTGGTGGGGGTCACATCGAGACCTCCAAAAGGGGGAAGGGTTCGCAAAATTTCTAAAGAAACTGCAGGCGCGACGGTTTTGACCTTTTCAGAGTGTATGGTTTACCATACCATGTCAATATCATACAATTCTGGGTTGCGTCAATCATCTCCCTCCAAGGGTTTTCTTTTAACTTTCCATGGTTGTCATTATTTGTCTTTGGGAGATCGATGAATGAATGGAAATAATAATATGGCGAATGAGGTTAGCGCTCGAGCGCGCAATCATGGGATACCAGCAATTTTATATTTGTATCAGGTGCGGTTGTGAACTTTTATATTGTTCCTTAAAATTATCCGGTATCATGAACGAGATTATAAATTACGATTTGACTGGTTTTTGAATTATTACTTATTAATCGGAATTTGAAATTAATCAATTTATCAATTAAGAAAGTTATTATAACTCACTGTTATGATATTTGGTGATAAATGTATGATTAGCTATGGTAAGTCGTCGAGGGTTAATCTTCTCTCGAATCGCCCTGAAATTCAAGTAAATAGGATAAATAAGGCGCTGCGTCCACAAACCACGCTATACGTTTCTGTCTGAGTTCGTCAGAGGTCGCTTTTACTCACCGGTTTACAATGAAGTAGATGATCGGATACACGCCGCTATTCAATACCCACATCATATTTAGGGTCATATAGGACCAAACATTTGACGGGAGAAAGGCCTAAAATAAAATGTCTAAATACAAAACGAGTGGACCATTTAGTTTTGTGATAGATTGATTCTTCATGAAGGCTTTTTTGCGATCACTGCTTCATATTCCAACACATTGGCGTTTTTGCCTTGATCACGAGTGCATGGCGCATTCCACTGATGCGTCACTACTACAACTTTTGCCATCATGCCATAACAACTATACAGCTGGCTTATTTACTCATAACGTATGAATTCACCTGCGAATTATGCCATAGAAAATTAAGTACGGTGCAGTATACGGTGATTACTAGCGCTTGAATGAGTATTTTAATCTCGGCACGACTGTTCGAGTTGGCCATGTAACGTTTTCGCTAAAGAATATCGGATTACGGTAGGCAGCAAAATGTGTAGTGAGGTGGGCACTTACTGTACGATAGAGGGCAATGATGACCAGGATGTAGAACACCGCTGAGACGAGGATAGTGCTCAACTCGATGAACATCTCGCTCTTCTGTACCAACCACGAATACCTGAGCGTGTAGTCGTAATCCCATGAGTATCTGAACAGGAAGGAGTTGGTTGGGTAAGGTAGAAAAGAGAAAAGGTCAAGCTAAAACGAAGGCCGGAAAGCGGAAGAAATCGGGTGAAACGAAAATCGGAAGTCGGAACGGATCTCGGAATACTTTCTGAAGGATCTCCCTAGGAATTCGAGGGTGTGGAGGTAACTAGGCGCTAACTAATCCCCGGCATGTCGAGCTAGAAGAGTTTCTAAACTGTCGAGCGAGCGGCTCAGCAATCATTAGCTATGCGTGGAGAGCAATGTAAATTATTTTGATTAGTATACAAATTAAATTGTTCTATCGGGAAAGGGCATTTCAGGAATTTCCTGGAGAGAGCAAGTGATTAGCTCAAATTAACCAGAATTGGGTTTAATCAATCAAGTAATAAAATTAATGAGCCTGTGGTTGAGTACAATTGTCCTTTTTAATCGAGACGGACTTGGAAAGTACATGCATTTAAGGAGGGTGTGGACAGTACCAGATGGTCCGCTTGAACCCTTATCGCAAACCCTACGCTGGTTCCGACTTCCGATTTCCGCACTCTTCTTCTTCTTTCGAGATATATGACATTTCGAAAGGTTAACAGCGATAAAGAAATTGCGGGAAAATAAAAATCATCCTGACAAGGGCGATGTCAGACTTTGCGAATCGAGCGGTTCGCTGGCCGCGACGCGACCGCAGACGCTCGCGAATAGCTCGCTTCGCAAAGTCTGAGAACGTTTAGTTGAATGACAACGAGTTTAATTAACTCACTGATCGGGAAGGTACCTAATTGTTGCCCATGGTGAAGACAGAGCGAATACGAATAGCAACCACATGAGGGCTCCTACTCCTATCCAATACTGCAAGGACAAGAAGTATAAACGCGTAAGCGAAATGGATATGATAACCTAAACTTGAAAACTTACCTTTACAGTTTTTTCAGCGAACAAAATAGATTCAAAACGAGGCGAATAGATTTGAATAAATCGATTAAATGATAACACAACGGTGAGCACGGTGTAGGCAACGTAGGAGGGCGTCGCCAGTACACCCATCGCCTGAAATCGAGAACGTTGACAGCGTTCATGGCGCAACCTAGCCCTTTTGGGAAGTAAGCGAAGAAGATCATGGTTTTAGTATTTGCGGAGCACGATGAAGGTCGCCCGGTGAATTATACGATGTTTTGGGAAGTTTCTTATTGATCAAGAGGTTAGGGTTCAGTACAGGATTGATAGAAAACTTCAAACGAACCTTTGCCAGTGCAGGATGCACCACCGACTGGAGTATTGTGAATATCCCGGTGACGAAATGCGGCACACACTGAATGACATCGAACACACCCAGAGCTAACATCAGTCTATAGGAAGGCATTTTCATCAGTTCGCCGTCTCTGCACAGCATCTGGGAAAAAGAAATCATAGACTGCGTTCAAAGACGTTCAGCAGTTCTTTCTTAGTTATGACCACACTAAATTGTTTTTTTACGCACTCTCCCTTGTTGAACTTCAAAGGCAGCGGTCACGCTTGTTGAGAGGCGGAGAATGAGTTCGGCACGTATTCGGAGAAAAAGCATCGGTATTGGGGGAAGTGGAAGGGTGGCAAAATAACCCGCTTTTCACCGGAAGGTGGTTTTCTACTGATACAACCTGTCCGGCCTCTCACCCAGCGAGACTGCTGCCTTCAAGAAACAGGCGTGGGAGGGAGCTGAAAATTTTACTTCACCTGAATATAAGGGGGGGCAATAAAAAGACATTTGTGCCTCCACTTCCAGCATGACTGTGATAAGATCAGCATTTTACTCAACTCAGACCGAACGGTTCCAACTTATTATTAAAGAGTGCATTCCATTCTATAAGAAAATCTTCATAGTGGCCACGTACGTGGACGGCATCAGAAGAATTTGCCCTGGAAACATGGTGCACTGGTCGATCTCAATGGGGTCTTCGAAGGATCGTGTACCATAACGACCCTTACTGGAAAGCTAGTTTCGAGGGGATTTGCACAGTGGTAGCTAATGCCTCTAGAAAACTATCCAACATTAAATCGATTCACGAAATTGCGTAAGAGCTTCAGGCTGAAGCTCTTACGGTAGACCTCCTTGAGCCTGACGACGGTGACAGATGACGTCATATTCTGAAGACGGTGAGGGCAGTGAAGGAGGGCCTGCGTTCACTTATAGAGGGACACTTAGGGAATACTCTGCTGAGGAACTCCCGTCAACGCCGGCAATCTCTGCGAAGAAAAAAGGGCCGAAGTCCGACATAGGCAAAATGTCTTTTTTTTTGGCCCCCCTGTATATAGCGCGCCTTACATTTTTAGGTCTATCAGGGCATATTTGCGCAAGCTATACCCAGTCGTTTTTTCCGTAATTGGATCACTCAAAAACGGATATGGGGATCGCAGCAAGAGACTCGCCCACTTTTGTGAAGCTCCACCTATCCTGCTGATGATCACCATGCACTCTACACCAATTTTTCTAGACTCTATGTAACAGCGGATTTTATACAAATATTATACTTTTTCTATTTCCAGTAGTAATGAGCATGAAACAGTTAGCACTCACAACTAAAATCACAGACGGAGTAGGCGCATGCGCAGACAAAGGACACTGCCATCATAGAGTCACCCAAACGAGCAACTCGCTGAGTTTGAATCCGACTGGAAGCACTCTGTGTGAGAATCAGCTCTAGTAAGAAAGGTCAAATAATAGAGATCGTTCTTGAAAAACGCAGATCGTATACGCTTCCAAAGCAGGAAGGGACTAACAGATTTTGTCTCTTAGTATTGTGCTGTCCCGGAGCCTCATCAGGAACTAAATTTTGGAGTATTTGGACTCTTTCGAACTTTTGGAATTCTTTTGGAATAAAACTTTTGGAGCTTCTCTGTGTTAAACAAATTTAGATTTTTGTCTAATTAAATTTGCTGTCAATAGTAGAAGTAGTTGTTGTTAAAGAAATACCTATACGGTCGCCATGCATCTCCCACCAGATGCGAACTGGACATGTAAGAAACTTATTTATCGATGCAATATTGCCATTTTTTGAGCATGAAAGTGGCAAAAAGGCCTTGTGGAGCAGTATTTGTAGAACCTGTTGCCCGCGATGGACATATTCTGGGTTCTGTCCCATACCGCATCGTTGATCTTCAATTTCAGGGATTCATCAAGAGCTCAGAAATCGTCGGGTGGGACGCGCTCCGAGGCCATCTGATGTGAAAATAGGCTGTCCCTTTCAGCATCAATGCAATTCGTCTCTCTCAGGGGCTGAGGTTTATTTCGCTGGAAGGGTGCGAACATGCCGCGCGCAACGGTAGCGACTGCCCCCCGCCGCATCTAGTTAGGACCTGCAGGATCTGCACAACCCCTACAGGCGGAGTTTCGTAGGGTAAATTTCTTGACCTGACCTTTCTCGGCCATGATTGTGCAATAACGCCATTTTTTGACGTGCTCCCTATTTCATTCGGATGATCAAAGAACATTAACAGACAAGTGGACTAGAAATGTGAACATTCAGGGAGGAGGCCAAGGGTAAGCCACAGGGGCCGAGTGCAGCAGTACCCGGCCGGGGATGGGTTCCAAAACTCTGTATCTCTGGACGCATCCCCCTATTCTTGGCAATTTATGATGCGTCGTCAACCGGAGTAAGGACGCAAAGTTCTGGAGACTACCTCGGCCGGGCTGCTGCAGAGGAGTCAGCAGTGACTTATATTCAGTACTATCTGTTTTCCATCAGGTCGGTCAGTGTGCCATCGAAATCCGAGGCGTTGGACCAACCAGGTGAGTTTGGGGCTTCTGTCTTGTAGGTATTATGAATTGACTTTCAGGGTGCTCTGAAAAGTACGAGTATAATCAGGTACTACTCAAATGAGCAAGCGCTTCCCCACTGGCACTTCAGACTGCAAACTGGAACAGGAACTGGAGTGAATGAACGGACCGAGGTTGGGATGTCTGGTCGCAGGTATGCCTTCTTTCATCTCCAATCTCGCTGCTCTCAGCTTCGAACAGATTTATCCCTTTGAGCGGTAGGCAGTTCACTAGAGGTAATGTTTTGGAAGTTTTTGAGCTTCTATGCTTTTTCCCGGAAAGATCTAGAAGCGTCCTGATGATCACCTTTATTTGGGAACGAACCGCATTTTTGATTATTCCTTCTTAATTTTCATTATTCGAACGAACAAGTCAGCGCTCGATTGTTCTGAGCGGTATCTGATCCAATGAACATGGGTGTGGCTGCGGCGACTTCTGCCATTATTTTCATCCACTGTTGGAATGGGCTAGAATAAGTAGAAGCACGAGGCTGCACCGAGCTGAAAACTGCTCGAGGATTCGTCGACGGCTCGTCGAGGATTTTCGCCTGTTCAGTCACGTTCTCCCGCGCGGACATTCACTCTCGCCACCACGCGCGAGCCGTCTGTGCTCTCCGCGCGTACATTCACTCTCGACACTATTCTTACACAGTACAGAGCCATTGGTTGAGGATTTCCTTGGCCGTTATTCACTCCGGGCTTCACCCCTTCATTCTGTCGAATCCGATAGTCGAAACAGGTAGATCGGCATTGTATAACTCATGTCTCGTTTGTGGTATAATTCAATAAGATTGCGGATAAATAGGGGTAGGATGGTACAGTGGCATGTAACACTGCACACAGTTTCATGGATCGGACCCCACTCTGTACCTACAAATTTCCGATCTACCCTTTAGTCGATCGGTTAGTACCAGATTCTTGGAAAGTTAGAAGCAGTTATTGCCACATCAGCTGGCTCCTCGAATCGCTGCTTTACGATATACAACATATTTTAATTTCTACAAATCAGTTGAAGTCGAATATGTGCTACTTTCTGCAAGGTTCGTTCATAACTGTGAAATCTGTCTACTTTATTTGGTTATGAAAATCGCATTGATAAGTTCTATTATACGGTAAACAATACAGAAAACCCAGACGTCGTGAACGATCACCTAATTTGCTCAGAGACCTGGCAATTACTCGAAGGAAAATTTGGTTATGGTCTCGTGTTTACCATGAAGTGATCCTGTTTTAGACCCAACAGAAGCGTTGTTTGGAGCGTTATACGCTGTTGCTGTCAGTACCTAGCACTTTGTTAATCACGAAATAATAGGTAATTGTTGGCTATATTCCTTGCTCCACAGTATTCGGTTCCTCTGCGTCTCTTTCCTGCGTTTCCTATTTCTCTGTGCTCTAACAGGTCCGAGCTCGCTTGTGACCTCCTGTAGGATTCTTACCTGAAAACTCAGTAACCTCCATGTACTTCAGTGTATTCTGATCGTACGGTCGTTTTCACTTCCTTCAATAGAATATCCGAATGAGGTCATTCGAATATGAATCTGAAATAGGAAAACCTTGAGAAAATGATCGAACAGGAACTCATCACGGGACGTCGACAGCATTTTGAAAATCTATCTATCAGCAGCCCACTGGAAATGAAGTTAGGTTTGCTCAGTGACGCACGAAGGAAGAAAAACCAAGAAAAATGGCCTAGAACCCGAGAAATGGGACCCCTTCCTTGCCCGTTGATTTGCGCATTGATGCGACTCTCATCGGTGCTGCCCTCTTCAACGCTAACGCTCTCTCTGCTAAACGGCTAGAGACTCAGACACGAGACGACGCGAGAAGGGGCGTAGACGACACGAGAGCGGGCGTGCCCAATCAAAAGCGCGCCACATTGCGCCGTGAAAGTCCTGCTAGTCACCGGGGCATATTCTTCGAAAACGAGCTTGACGGCTAGTCGCACCCATACTATGTTCTTCTGCCACTTCCATTTGAGGAAAATAGAATTTGTTCACAGTCTATTGGGTATGTTTTATTCAAGGTTTAAACAAGGTGGGAAAGCGATTCACCGTATAAGGAATAGCATATTTAATAGAGTCAGAAACGCGCTCTTCTGGGGGTTATAAAATTTTCGCATTTCTTCAAAAGCAACCAAGAAATGAAACACTTAAATTGAGCTACTAAAAACGGCGAAAACTTCCCGAACAACCCAATATTATGGCTTCTACGAGTATTTTCTTGCATTTATCAGTAAATATATTCATTTATTCAGATGTATTAGTGAATGAATAAAAAATAAACAAATTTATTCACTCAGTGACGATGGACCTATTACACGGTGTCGTAAGAGGGTTGAAGAAAGTGTTATACTTCAGAACGGAAAGTTTTTTAGCAGAATATTGAGGAAAATTCTGATTCGCGTGAAGGACTGGATAGATAGGAAATTGGAAAAAGCCTAAAATCCTAGCCAAAATCATGCCGACCCCATTCATATGCGCCATCATAGCTAAGGGGGGGGGGGGTAATTTTTCAGCAGTCGCTTCGGTTCCGAAGCTGAGAGTGCGGAGTTGTGAAAGGAATGAGTAACGATACTTTTGATTGTATGGAAATGGAGTGACCCAAAAACAGTGACCGTCT